ATTTAAAAAATAATAAACAAATTATTATTATTACAATAAAACCTGTGTAAACTGGAGATTTCCGTTTTATTCAGGTTCCTTTTTAGACAGTTTTTATACTGTAGAAATTATAGGAAATGTCTTAAAAACATTCTTACTTACATTTTGTTTTATCAGTAGTTAATAATATAAATTCAAAGAGATTTTATTTAAATTTTATAGTGAATTTATTAAAGTTTTTAAGCTTGTATATTAACATTTTAAATAAAGTTTTGGTTATATACAAAAAGTTTATTCTTCAAATAATATCCACATCTCTCGAGTTTCTTGAATGGGATCTACTCACTGAGAAGAGCATTCATATCTGATTAGCATCGATCAAAACAAACCATTGAATTAAATAGACTTAAATTTCATAAAGTCATTTTTTTCTCTTAATGTCTATTCTAACGACATTTTATTTTTTTTATGTTTTTATTCGGATATCTTCCATTCATATCTATCGTTTACATTTACTTTAAAGGCATTTCATACTTCTAACTTTTTACATAATTTAGATCGTTAATAATAAAAAGAAGAAGAATAGCTCCATTTAATTTTTGTTTTTTTTTAAATAAAATATTAGCTTTGATTTTTATCTACTTTAGTAGAAATACAATAGCACAGGAGTGAATGAACCTTCTTTTTATTTTATTGATCTTTAAAGTATCTTACTATATAAAAGTTTAACCGGAAATATCTGAGAAATTAATATGGTAATTTAAAAGTAATTATTGGGATTTTATATAATTTAATGTAAAATTTTATGAAGTTTTGATTATTCAAATAAACAGCATCCAGGATGAAGATGCTCTTAGCTACAGCATCCTTTGCTCTTTGTTTTCTTACTCTATCAGCGAAATTTATAAATGCTGTTGATAAAATAAGTTTAAAAAAGATATAATAATTACTAAGATTTTAATAATTTATGATAGAATTTTATATAATTTAAATATACAGTCATCATATGGAGATGGTCAATAAGTGAGGCTTTTATTTCTTTTTTTCAAATTTATAAGTCTTGTATCAAAAATACAAAAAAAAAAATCTTCAAAAATCAATCCATAAATCAAATTTATTAAAAAAATTTAAAATATTTATAAAGATTTGTAATTAATTTATTGAATTATCTTTTGCTTGAATGGTGTTTAGTGAAGGATGCCAAACATCTCAATTAGGAAGAGTATTCTCATTTGCCAAAATATCCTCATTTGCTTTAACAAAGTGGTTCATTATTCAATTTGTGGCACATTTTTTCCTCTATTTTCATCCCAAAGTATAAAAGTGGGTCAAACAGATTTCAGAAGTATTAGAGAGCATTTTTCAATAAAGAAAAGAAAAAAAAAACTGTAATAGATTAATGGTTAAACCAATTTCCCCATAAGATCCCAAAACTAGCAATTTGATTCCATTCTCATTACAAATAAAAATAATGAAATGAATTGCTTTGATATATATATATATATACACTATATACATACATAGCTTGAAATAATATAATAAAATCTAAAAATAAAGAAGTTTTTAAAACTAATTTGCATGAATATATATTTTAAAATATTAAATTAAATATTCTTTATAAAATTTATCTAATTTATTATAAAGTAAAAAAATAAAATTTTACTTTTAAATATAAATTTAAAAAGGAATCAAATTTTTCTCTTCTTAATTTGATTTATTAGAAATAAAATATTAAATAAAAAAAATAATAATAAGTTTTAAGGTTATCTTTCAGTTTTATATGACTTAATATTTAATTAATTAAAAGCAAAGTTGCATGTTAAACTTTTGATTTAAAGTTTATTTTTTTTTTAATTTCTTTTTTATGTTTATTAAAATTATGTTTATATTTAAATAATTAAAAATGAATTTTTTTAGAAATTTAAATTTTAATCCTCTTTAATGTGTGTTTTTTTTAATAAACATATTTATTTAAATTAAAAATGTAGTGAATTTTATTTCACATAATTTGAAATGTCACTTTTTTTTTTTTGAAAATATTACATGAATTTTTTTAAGAATAAAATTTAATTTTTAATAATCCTTTTATAATAATTTTTACATTTTTTTATTGCTATATTTTTATTTATTTAATTATTTATAAACAAACTTTATTTTAGAATTTTTATTCTACTTTCCATTAGAAAATTTCACTTTGTATTTTTATAAAATGGTAAAATATTTAATATATTTTCCTCCTTTTTTTTTACTAAATATTCTAGTGAAAATGTATTTTAATANTTCTTGTTACTATAGTAGTATTTTATTACTGTAATACTATACAAGTCGACCTCCCTATAACACTGTTGATAATTCCGTTTTATAAGAATTCCATGTTGTACGAGTCACTTAGATTTTACAAATACGTGAGCCGTTCACAGCCCGGCACACGTATTTGTAAAATCTAAGTGACTCGTACAACATGGAATTCATATAATACGGAATAATCAACAGTGTTATAGGAGGGTCGACTTGTACATGAAATTACATAAAAGCAAGCATAAAATTTGAAATTTTAATGTTTTTAATAGTAAAAAAATAAAATGAAATGTTTGTTTTTATCTCTTTCAGTTGCTGTTGTGGTTGCATTCTTCATCTGTTGGGCACCATTCCACGCACAACGATTAATGGCCGTATACGCCATGGAAAAAACACCCACAAATATAGTCATATATTCGGTATTGACATATATTTCTGGCATTACATACTACGTTAGTTCTACTATAAATCCTATACTTTACAGTATCATGTCATTAAAATTTCGTCACGCTTTTCGCGATACTCTAGCACGTTGTTTCGGTCGTAAAAAGAATAAAGGAATCAGAAATTTAAATTCTAGATATAATAGTACAATACGTTCTACAGATTTTACATTAATTTCAGACTGTTTACATACTGATAAAGATATAAAAACCTCTCGATTCTTGTCACGAACTAATACTAATCCCGTATTCCGTATACACGACTGTAAAGAAGATAAAATAACAAACATTAATTCAATCAATAATAGTAATTTACATATGATGGATGATAACGTCTGCGATGATAATGAATTATCCGAATCTATGGCTAAATTAAGAAGTAATCGTGGTTAAATATAGAAGAAAAATTTAACAGATACACACCTTTTTTTTATAATAAAAAGGAAGATATTTAATACAATTAAATAAGCCTTCGAGAGTGAAAATAGAGAAGTTGCGGCCGAAGTTTTCAACGCGAAAACCTGTACGTTTGACAATGACGTTTGGAAGGTCCACTGACGTTCCAAACGTCATTGTTAAACTTCTAGGCTTACAGGAAGGCGGCGCTGAACGTCGGACGTACAGGTTTTCGCGTTGAAAACTTCCGCCGCAACTTCTCTTTAAAAAAAAAGGTTAAAAAATCTTCTTTAAAATATAGTAAAACCGTTGTAAACCGGAATAACACGTTTTACCGTTGGCAGGTTTCCGTTTTAGACAGGTTTTTTACTGTCTTGATGATAAAATGTAGTTTTAATTTGATGAATTTTAAAACAGAAACATCTTCCGGGATGCATCGAAACAGCATTGAACATCTTCCAGGATGAATAACGCCTTTTAAAATGTTTTTAAAAAGAATTAAAATCATACAAATTACCAGAAAAAATATCAAATTATCTTTAAAAAAAACAATATATATGTAAATAATATTAAAATATTTTCGGCATTATTGCGTTTTTTTTTAGAACGAAAAAATATCAGTCAGAAAAGTCAATTAATACAGAAAAACTTTTAAATATATTTATAAATTTTTATGATATCGATATTAAAATTCAAGTAAGTAAAATTAATTATATACAGTAGACTCCCCCTCTATAACACTGTAGATAATTCCGTTTTATACGAATTCCGTGTTGTACGAGTCACTTAGATTTTACAAATACGTCAGCCGTTCACATCCCGGCACACGTATTTGTAAAATCTAAGTGACTCGTACAACACGGAATTCATATAAAACGGAATTATCAAGTGTTATAGGGGAGGGGGGTCGACTGTATAGAAAACCATCTTCGAATGACCAAAGATGCTACTTACTGGCAGTGGGCAAGTTATCCCAATCGATGTTTTTACTCGTTACTTTTTTGCTTAGTTCGATCCATTCCGGTTGACGATCGTCTTTATCGATTCCATTTAAACTCTTGGAGCGATGTACGCCGTTTTCCAACGTCTCTGTTGTTTTCCATCCTTTAACCACCTCTTTGACTAAATTAATAGAACGAAAGAATATAATTTAGGATTTTCCGGTTATCGCGGGTGAGAGCGAATGTGGACAAAAAAGAAATGAAAAAAAAATCCCACGCCGGGTGTAGTTTTTACCTTCCGGATGGGAGTCGTGGCTCATCGATGCGTGAGTAATTTGGGGGATGTCCTGCCATATTTTGCTATTCCTGGTCGGGTCGCTTCTGCGAAATTTCGAGTCCCGCTTCCTTTCTCCGTTAGTTCTCGAGTTAGCCGTCAGATGGCGCCTGTCCCACGTTTGGATTTGCACGCGTTCGCATAGCGAAGCGGGACGAGTTCTGACCGGACGGAATGTATTCCCACCTGTAACGAAAATATCGGAATTTAATGGATTTAATAGACATCTAATTAGATCGATTTTTTAAATANGACTCTTCATATATAATTATAAATGAAAAATAATAATAATAATAATAACCATATTTATAGAAAATATAAACTTTTATGTTGTTATTTTTATATACAGAATGTAATTATTAATAAATTAAAATTAAAAAAAAAAAATAATAATTGTTATTATGTATTAAAATTATAAAATTAACTAATTGTTAATTAAAATTGTGTAAAAACATAGTTAAAATTTATATTTAATTTAATGTTTTTTAAGTAATTGATGTTTCTTTTTGTGTATATAATAAATATATATGTGATGCTCAATTTATTGAATAAATTAAAAGATAATGTTGAATAAATAAAAACGTGTATATAAAGTATGTATCTGTTTAAATTATTCGTGTTTTTTTTTTTTTTTTTTTTTTGCTTTAAAAATTATAGAAAAGAATATATAGTTTATGGGAATGACGAGAGGAATAACAGGGCTTTAGCTCTAGGGCCAATACATTAGAATATGTATAATAAAATTTTAATTATAAATTCTAGAAAATCAATTTATGCAATTTTAAGTGAACGAAGAGAGAAATTGTGGTATCAGAAAAGATTTTAGAAGTTCATAGGGAGCAGAAAAGATATTTTATTTAAGTTATAAACCATAGATAACAGATACAGAGTCCGAGAGGGTGATCAAGGACCCTAGACTTCAAAAACTCTTTGGTTCGAGCCAAATTTTTCAGTTATTCTCTATGACCCTTCGAAAAATACAGGCTACTACGAAACCTGGAAGTCCCTGTTTTCATTTTCTTGATACTTTTTGATAATTTAAGTGAAATTCACTGTTATAAAGGTAAGTATTGAGTAATAATTAATGAAGACACCACACTATGAATCGTATTCTTTGTGATTTTTTTTCGGCACAGTACTTAGATGGCTCCAAGTACAGGGATTGATTTGGGGCCTCCTGTTAGTATGTCCTCAGGCAATTGCCATTTTTGCCTATAGGATAACTATGATTTTGCTCTTGGGGTGATCTAGGAGGAAGATGTAAAAAGTACAGTCAGAATGAAAAAAAATTAAGCATAACATAAAGTACTGTTTATTTTATACATCTTTTTAATAAATTTATTTTACTTTAGATTTTATTCCTAAAACCTCTGGGGATCCAACACCCATATCACCCCTCACAAGTATGATACAGATTATAAACACAGTACTTATATATAGTTAAAATGCTGATTAAATATGAAGTAAATAAATAAAATATATACGTCTATTTTAGTTTTCTATTGTCAATAGATGGCATTAAGTTACTTAAGTAGATAACATTATATCAGTTTTATGTACTACAAAATTTTCTCAAATTAATTCTATAAGTTCTGGTAAGTTTTTTGTATTTATCATGTTATAAAATTTCTATTTTATTTTTAAATTTCAATAATCATTTATATATATATATTTGTATCTAAACATGTGTATATGTAAGTATTTTATTTTTTTAGTTGAAAAATTATATTTAAAACCATAATATTTATTAGTATTTAATAAATAAATTAAATAATAATATAATAAATTTTATTTTTTCTATGATAAAAGTAGTACAGTTATATAAAACAATTCTTTTGGCCTCTTCCTGTTTCCTTTTATTTTCCTATATATTCCATTATAAAACATTATCTTTGTTTTTTTCTAGTACTATATTACTTTACTTATTCTTTATAATGATAAATAAATATATTTTTAAATATTCCCCATTTAATATATTATTCAATATTAAGATTTTAATTAATTAATTAAGCATATAAATAAATATAGATGTATAATTAATTCTAGGAATTGAATATTTTTTTTCTATGTACTTGAAACTATCATTTTAGTGTTTACTTTATCTACATTAAGTGCAACCTTAGAAAATCCAGTAAATTTCCTTCTTTAAAATTGAAAGTATTGTTAAGAAAATACAAAAAAAAACCTAAAGAAAAAACTCATTATTAATTCTGTATTAAAGAATATTTATTATATCAAAATAAATTCAATATAATGAATATTCTATAAGTGTAAGAAAGACTTAAGCTAGAATTTTCCTATAAAAAAACTGAATTACTAATAAATATCAGCATCTTATACTTGTTAATACTGTTTATAATATCTTCCAATATAT